TATATATATATATATATAATTTTTTAAGAAGCCAATTAGCCAGTTAATTGCATTTACACTAATTTAAATTAGTGTAGTTTTATTTATTCTTTAGAAATTAAATGTTGTCAATGTTTAAGTTGCATATACTAGCAATGTTAAAAATAATGTTATGTTTAATTATTTAGATATATAATTAATATATAGTTTTTTTTATGTTTGTTTTTTTTTTTTTTTTAATCGTATTGCACTCTCAAAAAAAAAATGTAAGGATTTTTAATTTATTTCCCCCCAACTAGACCGTTAAACTGCATGTCAAAATAAATAAATTTAAATAGTATTATTATAGTACCTATCCATTTTGGGGGAAAAGCACTACATAAATATAAATCTTATATGTCATGTCTGCTTAACTGAGAAACAATGGGTTTAATCTCACTTATCCTAAAATGGGAAAAAAGAGCCCGGCCTGAATCTCTGCGTTTCTTACCGACTCCCTGCCGTTGAGCTGCATACCCTTGGCCAGGCGTGACTCCGTCTTCGTCCTCCTCTCCATTTCCTCCATGATTCCTTGGATGTGATCCCCGGAGATCCCGTGGAAAAGCATGGCTCCGGGTCCAGGACACAACGTGCAACTGCTCGCCTCTGTTTTGCAGCTCACAACTTCCATATACCGCACCTCTGCGCTGCGCCCTCTTATCCTCTTTCTCTCTTTTTGTGTTTCTCAGCGCATCCGAGGGGGCTCTATGCACAACACAAAACAGGATAAAAAAGAAAAAACAAAAAAAACAAACCCTGGTGATTCAAATCACCTCCTCGGTTGAAAGCAGAATCAAAACTACAGCATTGGTAGGACAGGAGTTGAGGCGCAGAATTCCTGCTTCCCGTGAATGTCTCTCATCCAGTAAAAGAGGAAAAAAAGTATATAGTCCAAATGATGCGACAAAACGGTGCGGAAGATGTGCTGGAGAGGGACCAGAGGAAGAGGAGGGGGCTACAGTGTGATCATTTGCCAAAAAAAATAATGTCACAAAGTTTTTGGTTTGCTTCTTTTCGTGCAGCAGGGAGGGAGGGGGGTTCCTCGGTGCTTGGAGGTCAGGTTGGGACTGCCTGGATTGGAGAACCGGGTTGTATTTGTGAAGCGCGCAGAGCAGAGCCGGCCCAGTCTGAATAATTTGGTAGGAGGAGTCCTTCTCCCTCTCTCCCTCTCCTCCTTTCTCCCTCTCCTCCTTTCTCTCTCTCTCCCTCTTCCAGCATCACCACTCATTTTCTATTCACCAACAAAGAGCTGTCACTATTTCATCAAAAAAACACCACTTTACCCTCACCTTTTCATTGCATTTACTCCCATTTTTGCAAAACGCTCCACCGAAATCAACTAAACAAAATATAGTTACTGTAAAATATTATATTATTAAATGCCTGTTATTCATGCAAATATTTTTATTCTGGAATTAGGGAAAAAAACTTTTTTTTTAAATGTTAAATAAACCAGTGAATATCCTATTATTAGGGGCTATTTCATTTTACAATAACAATGTTACTAGGCTTAAACCAAACATTTTTATTCCCTGAAAAATGATTAAATCTTTCTGTGGGTTCCTGCTGAACAGCTGGGGCGGGGCAGTGATCAGTGACAGCCTACAAGGCGGGGACAGATCGCATTAAACAACCTTGAAAGAATAGGATTAAAATAGTGCGCATAATGAGGATTTTGTCTTTGAATAAAAAGCATATCGCGCGTTTTCTGCAATGGAATAAAGACTAACTGAGCAAAGTCAGCTCCCAGTTTCTATTTCATGCTTTTTTTTTTTTTTTAGGTAAATAACATTTTATCTCTCCACAAAGTGTCTATACTGTAAACATTAACGCGTGCATATACCTGTAAACATTATGCAAACCAAATTTCACTTTCTCTGCCATTAAACGCGGAAATCTGTTTTTGTTTTTAGTACAAATTAAGGTTTTATCAGTATGTTTTAAATCCAGAATGAGGTAAAAACATTTCTTCCCTGCAGGAATGGAAAGACTACATATTTTTTTCTTTTGGTTCTATTTTCTGCACAGGTTCCATGGAATTTCATTAAATATTACATTTCATACAAGTCACAGTGGAGCAATATGATAAAGAGCAGTCTCACTTATAAAAGGTGTGAAATCTGTTTTATATAGTAAAAAAGAAGGTTAAAAATGGAATGATTTCAGTTAAAAGGCCAGAATGGGTTGAAAATGATCCAGATTCACGACAGGGGCGAATTTAGGAGGATAGTTAAGAGAGATTGAGACATTTTTTTTGGTGCCTTTTAGATAAATAATTTGGTAGACGTTAACTTTGAGATTAGTATGCATGTTTCACGTCATTTTTTATTGCATTCGTAGTAAAATATCATTAAAAGTGCAGCATCAGTTCAGGACTTTTTCGGCCAAAATATACAAAAAAAGAACAATAATTAAATGGTTGGACATGGAGTGCAGAATCAAGACACCCCACTGATTTTTTTTTTTTTTTTTTCAGTGAAAACAAAATATGAAATTCTGTTTTCTCAATAGCCTTTGGCCTTGCACCATTGTTCCTGCAACCCAGCTTTAAGTAAAAGGTTTGCAACCCTAACCTTTAGTATAGCAAATCGATTTTTAATCAATCAAATCTATTAATAAAGTGGCAGTAGTTTTACGCATGTCCAGGAGGGTCTGCAGGTGTGGATGCTTCATATCAAGACATGGAATATATGAACCTCAGCATCCCCCTGTTTTCTCTATCCACTCCCCCTCCCCTCCACCACACACACTCTCTCTCTCACACACACACACACACACACCGTGAGGTTGTGTTGGCTTTAATTGGAGGCCCCTTGATAGCAGCGCTGTAAGCTGAAGCCTGAACCTGGCTGGACGGGCTGCATGGAGCTGCAGCTGTTCTCAGAGCAGCGGCGTTCATTTGCTCTCTGTCAGGGTCTCAGCAGCAGCCGCAAAGCGCTGAGAATGGACAAAACGGATCGCATTTCACCTGGACAAAGACACCCCGAGAGGAAGGGGGAAAAAAAGAGCAAAAATCTCTGTGTGAAAAACATTCACACTGCTGATTGGTTTGGGATTTAATTTTACACTAAAATGTATTTATTTTTTTTTAGGAATTTGGGCATTTATGTTTTTTTTTCTTTTTTTTTTTATGTATTTTTAATTCTAACATGCATTGGATATTTTTTTTTTTTTTTTTTTGTCTGGTTAGTTGTGCCCCGTTGCCTCCAGCGGTGACATTTCATTTGCCTGGTAAATGGTTTAACTGGTGTGTCACCAATAGGATGAGGGAATCATCTCTTAGTTGCTGTCGTTTATTTTTGTTTTTAATCATTTTTCCTTGAACCTTTATACCGTTTATTTTAATTTGACCATGTATTGCTTTCACAACGTTTAAAATAATTCTTTAAAACACACTCACCTTATTAAAACCTGCATAACAATTCTGCAAGACTAAATATTTTACACTCATATATATATAATAATGTAACTTTGACATGAAAGCGTTGAAACAATTCTTTTTTGCACACTTATTTCCTAATATCTAGGGGAAAAAATGATATATATTTTTTCTTTTTTATCTATGTGTATATGATGAGCAAGAATAAACTTTAACTGTAAAAGTTACAGGATGAATTTAAGGACGGCTGGATTTTGATGCTTTAACGCATAATTTATTATTTAAAAGTCAGGTGGAAAATCCAGAGTTTAATTAATAAACAAATCAGAGCTGCACAGATTTGTTTGCAGCATCGCCAGGCGAGGAAGGAAAGAAAAAAATCAATCAATCCATGGCCTTACCTTCCATCACATCCCCGTTCATCCTGCTGAATATCAACCGTGCCATCGATACATCCTCATTCGTGACGCGCATTTCTCTACCCACTTTCCTCCATTTGCTCCAGTTTTTTTTTTTTTTGCGCCCCTCTTTGTGTTGCTATGTTACTATCGCCCCGAGACTGAAGAGTTGCAGAAAGGGTCTTACCTGAGGCTGTGGGATCCCCTGTGCGGCGCGCAGGCGGAGGAGCTGCGGACTGTGCGCGCAGAGCAGAGGAGACAGACAGGCAGAGGAGACGCTGCCGGTGGATGGGGGGGTGGGTGGGGTGAGGAGGGGGCGGGTGGTCCTCGTTTTGGAGCGCACAGCTCCTGTTCGAGCGTCAATTAAAACACAAGATATTTAAATATTCCCTTATATGCACAAAAACACGAAGAGAGAGCAGCAAACAGGAAAGAGAAGGCATGAGCCAATGGCCTCCTCTGTATGGAGGCTCTGATGGAGGTTAAATAGAATCAGATTTTTTTTTATTTCTCCTAAAAACATAATTTATCTAAAATTGAAATGCATCTAATTTTTATTGTAGTAAAAAAGAGGCATCAGACGAAATTAAAAGTCACCAATGCAGGAGCGCACGTTGAATGCTTCCAGGTTTCCTCTCTGTCTGCAGAGGTTTATGCAAATATGCAAGGAGGCCTGATAAAGGTGTGCAGGAAAAACCCGATCAGTCAAACTGGCGATTGGAGCTGAAGGCATAGCAGGAAAAAAAAAAAAACATAAATAAGTGTTCCTCCATGAATTGGCTAACTCCAAATTAAAACAACGCAGTGCGCGTTAATTTATGTATTTTTGCAGATAGGAACCAGGTGGAGCCTTTTCTCACTGATTTAATATTTACAGTTTTTGCCGCTTATCGTCAATTATTCATCCAGGATACCACGATTTAAAAAAAATAAATAAATTGGAATGACATTTTTTTTTTTGCGTTGCACATTTAAGAGGGAAAATAAGAAAGCAGAAAAAAATCCACATCATTAATTTTAAATTTATGGATTTATGTTGGTGTCTCCATCTATGGCCACCCACCTTAATCTAGTGTTGAAAAAAATATGATCAACTATTTGAAATAATATTAATAAATGAAATAGATGTTTTAATAGAATTTAAAAATTATCAGACAAGTTGCCTATGTCAACATGTGGACCTTCACCCCAATGTTGTTGAATCATTCATTTAACCATTATTCTATTTTGCTATTTTATCTCATTTTAGAGAATGAATTGATTAAAAAAACAAATAAATAAATAAACCAAACAGGAGCCAGATAATCTTTTTGTATCATGTATTCTCTGGCAGGCTAAAACAAAACATGACAACCATCTGTTACATTAAAGAGCAGAAAGTGCATGCTGGCTCCATTGAACTGCATGTTTATTGTTAAATAAATGAGGAAATGGGCAGCATCCAGAATAGGATGTCCAAGAAGACCCCCCCCCCCCAAACACATACTCACACATACATAGACACACATGCACATGGAGGCTCAGATGGACAGATTTCAAATGATAACAAGTTAACAGAATACAGTGGTGCTGGGAGCAAGAGGGTGACAATTAATTACTCCTCTGCATAAACGATCATGTGCCACACTGCTAACAGTCATTTTGCTTTGCTTCTTCAGCCTGGGTTGACATCACAGTGAATCTCATCAATAATGCAGCGACGGCGAGATCCGTTTCACAGCCCACCATGATACGTCAACGTGCACGTGGCGGTTCTCCGAGCATGATACCCAGAAACAGGCTCTGCATCTCGTCTGGGCTCCTCATTGCAACCTATCTTAGATGCCGTGGCTCCTCTCTGCTGTAGGGCATGGTGGTTGGATTACCACA